TAAAGCTGCTGTATATTAGGATTCCGGAACCTTTTATCTTTGTAAGTCTTTTATTATTTTCATTACTTTTGTATACTTCTTTGTTTATGTTCTGAAGTTACTGTTTAATTTCATTATTATCGGAAAATCAAAATTCCAAAAATAATTGATTGATTTGTTTCTGTATTTTCTTTTCAAAAATTCAAAAAAAATCAAAAATATTTTCATTTTTTGTGTTTTCAAAAACATCAAAAATATTTTTGTTTCTAAATTCAATTCTGAATTTAGTCTGCAATAAGGAATTGACGGTCGACTTAATCACTTCTTTCTACCATATCTTATCTCAACCTCCATGTAGTCCCTTGATTATTGGAACAAAACCAGTTTCAATATAGGGCTACAAAAACTCTTGTTAATGATCGCAAAATCATTATCAACATGATTTTCGTGAAACTCCCAACCATTCCACTACCAATCTATTACTCTGTATCGTATTTCATAAGACTCTCAGGTTTAACCACTGAGGTTTAGGCTACAAAACATCTGTGTTTATGATCTTGAAATTGTTATCACCATGATTTTGAGTGAAACCCAAAACTCTGAAGACCATTTTTAAATTTACGATGAACACTCTTTTATTCTAGGTATTTACCCAATGAATTGACGGATAAAACCTTTTGGTTTGTACCTTTGAGTGTTTGAAATCTTTTTTTAGTGATCTTAATGAAATGTTCTTGACCTAAGACATTTCTTTCCAACAATATCCAATTTTTATTTTCTTTGAGATTCAATTTCATCCAACTACTTTAAAAGAATATTCCAAGCTTACTTGTTTTTATGGCTACACTGGTCAAACAAGTACTTCTTTTAGATCTTCGGACTTATATTAAGTTTCAGAATTTGGTTGAAGCTGAAACCACCCTTTAAAGCTTTAATAAAAGAATCCTTTCACAGTTTCTCAATAAACTGATGATTGTAATTCAACAGGAAATCACACAAGTACTTCGGAGTCTCTCTTGACTTAGAAGGAAGAGATTGTTTCCCGAGATCAATCAGCCTTTCATATCAACATTCCTTGATATCACTAAATCTCACATATTATTTGCTTTATTTCTTTTTCTTTGGCACACTCTTGCACTAATGTAACGACGTGAATTTTCAAAACAATTTTCATTTTTAAAACATACTTTCATTCATAAAATATCAGAGTAATCCAATGTATCACATGATATCATAATACAAATCCCAAGATCTCCAAATACATAAATCCTCTCAATGTGTACGAATCATGTCGGCGCCTTCCCACGGTCCTCGCTAGTACCTGAAACACATATCACCACAACTGTAAGCATAAATGCTTAGTGAGTTCCCCAACATACCACATACAACACATACACCACTCGAGGCTATAATACGACCCTTCGGTCGATGTGTCTCAGCGGGACCCCCCAGTCCCGTAGCTCGTTGGACCCTCTGGTCCGGTCATAGCTCGTTGGACCCTTCGATCCGGTCTATATATCGTTGGACCCTTTGGGCCGGTCTGTATCGTTGGACCCTCCGGTCCGGTCTATACAACACATAGCATACATATATCACAATGCACATAATCTCATACATACACATAGCACACAAGACCCTCCGGTCTACACATAGATACCACTCTAGGTAATGTATAGTGAGAAGACTCACCTCGTATGATGTCTTGTAACTCACGTGCTCGATATCCCTGAATCTCGAAACAACGACCTAGCCCCGCCTAATCACATAAACAATTATTTCGAATCATTAACGGCTCTCAAGGCTAGACTAAATCCTCTTCTACAATCCCACAGAAGGGTAAAAGACCATTTTACCCCTCCTTGACCCAAAAGTCCAAATGTTGACCAAAACCCTAAAAGTCAACGAAAGTCAACGGTCAAACTTTGACCCGACTCGTCGAGTGCACAAGGGCGACTCGGCGAGTCCATACGGGTCCTCTGAATCCTTTCAGCCTCTCTTCGCTCGTCGAGTCATCCTTCCACTCGACGGGTTCCTCCGGTCACGAATCGCGGGGCAACCCCGACTCGACCCGTCGAGTCTACATATGCACTCGGCGAGTCTCCTCCATGGACTTGCTGAAACAACCTCCTGAGTTCAGATCTGCTTAGCCAAATCATAGATCTAACCCTTAAGCACTCAAAAGTCACGTAAAGGTGCAACCTTTACGTGCATGCAACCCATATCAAGCCTCAAACGGAGAAATAACACTAGAAATGGCAACCTAGTCTCCAATTCCTTATTTGCTTGCAAAAAGCTGGAAGATAATGACTCTAGGTACCTCTAATAGTCCAGATCTGATGTTATTCATACCAAGGGGACCTCATACTCACTAGATCTCATAAAATTATGAGGGGAAAAACCCTAGAACTATGAAATCCACCATATGAACGTGAAATGGAAAGAATTATACCTCCAAAGACAATATCTCAAGATGATTAGCTCCAACCCAAGCTTCCTTCACGTTCTAGATGGATCCTCTCTTCTTTCTCTAGCAAAATCACCCCAAAAATGAAGATTATAAGCCCTTTCTTGCACTCAAGCCTTCCTCACTCTCTCTAGGGTTTCTCTGGAACAAGGTGGCCGCAATGGAGGCCATAAAGGTCTTTAAATAGGCTCCCAAACCCGGGGATTAGGGTTTCATTTTACAGCGCGGACTCGGCGAGTCCACGCATCGACTCGTCGAGTCCATTCATTAAATCCAGTCAGCAATTTCGCGGTCCTACTCGACGAGTCTACGACTCGACTCGTCGAGTCCCTCTCTTTTCCTCAAAAATAAATGATAAAATATAATACCTGGAATTCCGGATGTTACAACTAAAATCCTTGTGATTTTACCAAGTATGGTTTCAATTCCGAATGGATGTTTACAGAGCTTGAAGGTAGAACGACAATTCCGAAAAGACTAGTTCAGAACATGGTGAATCCGAAAAGTCTAATGACTTTTGGATAACCTCAAATATTGGCGTGATTTTTTAATTTCCCTGACACTGCATGGTTGTTGTAACGGTTTTTCACAGTCATTGATTAGCTGGCACGATTTTATTGGCTGATTTCTCAGCATGCACGAATATGAAATAGCGGTTTCTCTCACCACTCATCATATACCGTAAAAAAGGGGTTTCAAACGGTTCACTTTCTCTCACCACAAACACAATTTTCAAAGTCTCAAAGAAAAAACCCTCTTACTCTCTACTGTTCATCGTCTCTCTCACAACATCAATGGCAGGTTCATTTGAAAACGTCTCGTTTGTCGACCAGTATGCCTCTGTCATCATGCTCTCTGTTAAACCCAATCAGAACATGATCATCGACCTTGATTTCGCACGCTACAATGAACTCATTAGGCCTGTGATTGACTATCTCAAGTTATTACCACTAATGAAGGCCTTAACCATGGCGGAAACAGTTCCCCTTGTTCATCTCTCAAAAGCATTCTCAGCTGCAATTTACAATAAGTCAAATGATGTTATCAACTTTCAAGTGGCAAACCACAAAACATCGATATCTGAGCCCCACTTCTGCAAAACCTTTAGGGCTCATTACGTCATAGGTCAGTGTAGAACCTGAATCGATTCCAGCTACCTCCATGATAGAGATGTTCTATAAGATGGGTTACACTAGTGACATCTCATTACTCTCCATGTTTAGGAAGTCTTTCTTACCCCCGGTATGGAATGGGTTATTTACCCTACTATTCAAGAGCCTTTCGGGTCTGAAAGTGCAAGCAAGACATTCTACAATCTAATCTATGGCTTGTTCCATGGTATCAATCTTGACTATGGGGCAGTTATTTGGACTCAAATGATTCAGAGCACCATTTCCTCTTCTTTCCACACTGAAATCTCATGTGCCCGATTCTGGTCAATAGTGGTCAACCGGGCTCTTGGTCATTTGAAAGTCCCTCTGATGAAAGATTTCATAATAGTCGAGATTATGACACTCCAAACATCTACATTTGTGATGTCAGATCCTAGAAAATTCGATTTTATTGGTTCAATTCCGATCGAAATGTTGGAAAAGGTTCCACTTCACAACACCATTGTGAGGGAGCATCGGAAGTTACCCTCTTCTGGTGTTCGACCAACGTCCGCTTAACTAAGGAAGTTGATTGATGAATTCAACAAACCAAAGCGTGGTGGTAAAAGGAAGGCAAACGTTGCTCATTCTGAAAGTGTCAGAGTTCTGAAGAAAACAAAGAAGCCAGAAAAGAAACCGAGATCTCCATCTCCGGTTTTACAAGAGGAATCAGAAGAAATAACTGTTACTGAAGTTCAAGATGATGACACACTCCGAAATGAGGAGGAAGATACAGTTGCAACTTTAGAGCCCGCCCCTACTGACAATATTCTGAAGGTATCTTCTCCACCGACTTCCTCTGTTCCAACTTTTGATATTTTTGGCAACATTCTAAAAGAACCATTTCTAAAGCTCACTACCACTCCACCATCAACACCTATTATTCCACGAACTTTACCAATGACATCCTCACCCACTACATCCATAATTTCGATATCATCCATCGTTCCTCTACCACCAACGAGTTCTGTTGGAATATCTGTTCCTCAAATTTCCATCCATTTATCCTCGCCTATCTTTACAGATTTAACCACTCCTACTACATCATCAATCTCCATTCCATTGGAAGTCCCTATAATCAAATCCGTTTCGGAGGAGATACAAATTTCGGGCATCCTTGTCAACGTGTCTGATATATCAGTGTGAATTCCGAACCAGGCACATCAACTGCTTCTCATTTTAATGAGAATGAAGAAATATTGTCCGGAGATGAACAAGAAGCCATCGTGGACTTCATTTTTCAGCCCTTCAATCTTAACATCAACAGTGATGAAGACGAAGCTCCCACGACAAAGGGACAGTTCAAGCAGTTAACAGAAAAGTTTTACTCACTCTTAGATCACTCTCAAGCCTTCTCTTCTTCTAAGTGGTAAAATCTTCTCACTACTCATCGAGCAACTGTGGAGATGCTCACATCTGCAAATTCCAAGGTAATTGAAGAACCCACTAAGGTTGCTCAAGCCTCAGACAAGAAAATAAACGAAGCTGTGGAAAATGTTCTACTCTTACAAACTGAAGTCAAAGAATTCATAACAGATTTTAGGACCAATTCGGACAAGAGCACGACAGACATGAATAAGGTTATTGAAGATTTTATTTCTTCTTTGAAAGCTGAGAAAGAAGCTCTATAAAAAATCCATGCTGATATCAAGCTTGATAATGTCGATCTGAACTCAACCATCACCACCCAGCTGGATAAATTAAAGGCTGACTTGGCAGCAAAAAATAAAATAATGGATGCCTTAGTGGAGCAAACTCATAAGGCAAAAGTTTGAATGAAAAATTGAAGAATCCTAAATGTGTGGTCGCTAGGCTATAAGAGGAAAAGTTATCTGTCAAGGCTCGCAATTCCGAAATTCATCAATGACTGTTGAGAATTGTTGAGACCAGATCTCCTCCATTTAATGATACAGTACGCCTTGCTTTATCTAAAAAGCTTAAGCTAGTGTTCGCTCTACTGAATCAACTCCTTGGTGTTTCGGGAAGCGGTGCTCCTTTGAAATAAGGGGAGAAGATGAGGTTAATGTGAAATAAGATATTGATCAGAAAGTTAATGTAGCTTCTAGATCAAGGAAAGATAAGGGAAAAGAAATTGATGAAGACGATGAAGAAGAAAATTTGTCTGAATCAGAAAAGCTTGTAAGAAAGAAACGGGGTAAAGAGCTTGATGAGCTCAATGCTCTTCGACAAAAGCTTGATGCAGAAGATGCGGAAGTCAAAAATTCAGCTTTTATTTTGGAAATTCAGAAGTACTTGTTTCCTACTTGCACTATTCAGCGAATTCAGAAGCAAGTCGTTGAACTTCTAGAGATATATTGGTTGGAACCGAAGACACCATTTGATTCCTGTAATGATATCGAATGTCAGTTGGACTTTCCCCTCACCCCACGAGCATTTCTTTTTCGATGCTTCCAAAAGATTGAGAAGTCTTAAATCTCCAACAACACGATCAACAGAAAACTCTTCAACTTTTATCTTAAGCATAGTAAGCCTCAGTACTAGTCCTAAAGTCTAAAGAGGATCATAGGTTTGAAGGTCGGACTTCCTATGGAAACTGGAGATTTTCCAAATATTCACTTCAAAGGATATCGGGGTTCGAATCATGTGCTTCATGAGTTTACTTTGGTTGGTTTTCCTTTCATGAATCCGTATGACTGGATTTCGTTATTCAACATAATTTCAAAGGATGTGAATAAATACGAACCTATTTTCAACCATCTGAAGAGGATGATTAAATGCTACATCCTAGAGATTGTGAAGATAGATATTTAGATCGCCTCAGTTCTAAATAAAAGACCCATAATGAAGCCATTTGAAGAACCTGAGGACATCCAAGATCTGCCATGGGGGTTGATCGACAAGGAATATTGGAGCATCGTGTATAAGAAGAAGGAGGGTGCAGTTTTGAAAAATTGCATGTTGTTTTTAAGGGACAAACACTTGTACTCCACAAGTTCTATGAATCAAATTCTAGCAACTGCTAAAGTGAACAAGACCAATTCTCCTTTAGATTTAAAATGCATGTCGGATATGTTTCAGTGGTATCTGGCTATCAGGGTATCCCTTCTGAAAATAATGCCTGAGGTTTTTGAAGAGCAAAGACAACAGTGAATACTCTCTTCCGATTTGACACAAAGGGGGAGATTGTTAGGTCTTATAATATGTTGTGTCAAATGTATGTTATTAGCTTCCGAAATGGGTCTGTCCATGTTTGGAACCGCTGTTTATCTTAGTCTATATATAGCATGCATGAAACTTTTAGGGTTACAACTTTTGAAGCAAGTACATAGTAGTTCTGCCTCAAGAACTATTCTATTGCGATTATTAATAATCATTCGGCACCTTTTTAATCATTTTCGTTTCCTGTCCTTAATTCATCTTGCAAATATAGAATCTATCGATCTTTGTTGTTCCCACAAAAACCCAATCGGTTATCCTGATTGCATAGTCATCATCGTAAGAGATACTTGTCTAGTTTTTAAATGACAAAGGGTTGCTCATGTCCCTGACCTCCTAGTCTGAGGTATGACATGGTACCATTATGAATTAATGGTGAATCTTTGATTCTTGATTACAACTTACTCTATTATACGAAAGTTAAACCACTTCTTGTTGATGAGTTAAATTGTTAATGATTCACGCTGATTCCACCTCAGCATGACTAAAACAATCCATTCTCTCCACAAGTATTCTAATATAGAAATTGATGATTCACTATGTAAAACCACACACTGATAAAAGTTCGAAAGTGTTGTCGATGGTTAGACTATGTACCGTAGGCTATCACACACCAATCCATTCTTGCCCTTATATTCTTCTTTAAAGTTGTATGATTTTGTGTAATGTACCATACGTTAATGAGAGCTTGACAAATATGTGTTGATGGGTATATCATTTTTTGTGATATGTTACATGCACCTATCCACTCTTGCCATTTTTCTTCTAATAAAAGTGATTTATGATTCAACGAATGAACCAAATGCTGATGAGATCTCGTAATATTATGTTGATAAATGATAGTTTAAACCCACACTATCAGGAGACATCACAATCCTATGCTAGACTACAAAGTTGCATCACTGATACTCTCCTTCAGTTTTGTTCTCCTGTTGATGTCAAAAAGGGGGGAATAATCTTTTCTAAGCTGATGAAACTATTGGATGTTCAAGATGTTCAACCAAGTACAATCTAAGGGGGAGTTAAGCTAGATGCTCTATTTCCTAAGTTGAAGAAACTATTTGATATTCAACCAAGTACAATCTAAGGGGGAGTTAAGCTAACTTACACATTCTCAGCTCATATTCATCCTCAGGTTATCATTTCTCCGTTCGTCCACTGCAATTCATAATCGAGTCAGATCTGCTGTCTCAACTGCTTGAAAAATAAAAAAAATGGGAAGTCACTATTATTCTCAGGAGGAGTATTTTTTATAGCTGAAGGAGCTAAAGATTCATTCTTCTTCTCAAAGGGACCACAAGCTAAAGAATTCATTGAAGATTAGTTTTGACATCATCAGATAGGGGGAGATTGTAAGGTCACACCTTATGATCTGATGAGTCAAACACTCTACACCATCTGTCAGCGTCAGCATCCACAACATCGACAGTCCTAGCGTATCAAGCTTACCAGCGCCACCATATAGCGTAGTATAAAATAGATCACAGATCTGGTATCTTTGTGATAGGATCGGTTCTTCGTATAGATCAGACGTAATCGCTACAATCAAGGAATATGCCTATATAGATTAGTATATAATTTGCATTAGGGTAAACCCTAATGTAGAGTTCGTCTTGGTGACCGTCTTTGTGATAGCCCTTCATCTTAGTGAAGACAAAACTCTTTCTTGGTGAAAGAAAAATTTAGAGAACTCTCCTGTCATTTAATTTCTGTTCTTTATTTTCTTTGATTAATTTTCTCTTTTGTCTTTATACTTCAATTGTAATCGATCGATACAAACCTTCAACACCGAATATCAAACACAGTCTAGCTCAAGTATTTTTATTCTTCTGTTAGAGCTTTTTTTCAGTTACTCTACCCAACCACGTTGTAACTAATTTTCTATCTTTTCACCACTAAAATATTATGAAGTAATATTTATCTCCGCTTTATTGTATAATTACTCATCGCTTACCATCGTTGTAATGATTATAGTAATACTTCTTAATTAAGGTCTATTCATTCACCGTAAACCCCAAAGCAAGTATCATGTTCGCTACTAACGTGACCGGCACGACCCAATGCACTAGGTGAGGCACGACTCTCACCCATAAGCATTGCCCTCGGTGTACTGCGTTCGCTACTCTGGTATTGCACATACGTATACACGCATTGTCGTTAAGGTTTGGTTAAATCGGATCCAATTCCACCGCGCTACACCTCCCGAATCCCACGTGATATTTTGCGTCGGCTTTCATCGTAGAGCCAACATCACTCCAGTTCACATATCTTTAGGTGAACCAGGTGTCAAACTAGTCGTCAAGAATAAACATCTTACTGGCTTTCATCGTAGAGCCAACATAAACTGACTTTCCTCGTAGAGTCAACCCTAACCGGCTATCCTCGTTGAGCCGACACTACTTGGATATCCTCGTTAAGCCAACACATATTGGCTATCCTTGTAGAGCCAACCCTAGTTGACTTCCCCGTGGAGGCAACCCTAATTGGATTTCCTCGTGGAGCCAACACTACCCTTCCCCCCGCTAGTGTATTCCCCTTTTAATTAATTTATTATTAATTCATCTTTTAAGGAGTTACACATTTGACTTCCTAAGTAATCATACGTATTTATTAACATCTTTTTCTAGCATATTACTTCTCATGTAAACATGCAAACAAGTAAATACAAGTTAAACATTTTACATCGCATACAAGTTAATGCACATATCATCATTATGGCTTGACAACGTCACTAGCATTCCCTGTACTAATCATCAAAGACAAGTGTTTCCAAGAAATCATGGCATGCACACATCACATAAAATCAACACAAGAAACTCTTTCTATCATGGCCCTAACACATCTCTCACATCAAAAGAATAAGAATCTAGTATTTAAGCATCATAAATTCTCAATCACACAATCTAAGATAGTAACCAAAAACATATCACATAAAATAGGGGTACATCCAACCTAGACAACCTAGGTTCATTCCACTCCTTATAAGATATAGAATTCCCTAACAATTTACTTTAAAAATCCACAAGATTAACTCACCTCGAATTTCGGAAAGAAAATAGCATGGAACGTAACTTCATATCTCCATAAATCAACCATATACCTAAATATAAAAATATTTCTATTTACATTAGACTTTGAAATGAAACTGAAATAATTAAGAATTGCTCAATCTTATTCTCATAATTAATTTAAATTTCGAATGCTTTATAAAACCAACACAAGCTCATGTTGAGTTTTGTTTTAGTGTTTAAGAGTTACATGTTTCATAATGGAATTATTTATGATGCTATATATATATATATATATATATATATATATATATATATATATATATATATAAACTGTTTGATCTCTCATTTAACATTGGGTAAATTATAATATTTCATAAAACTTATCGAATTGTATGTATATATACTATTGCATATGTATATAATTTTTAAAACAATGAACTAGATACGCTAGAATATAATCCACTGTATCCCCACTCAATTCTAAATAATTAAGAAGATAGATGTATATTTCTTCGATTCATTAGAGTTATAAGCAAACATCTAAGACTTGTTCTTAGTATTTTAGTGATTGTTATGAGATAGAGAAATTTTTATCACTCGTTGGGTGTTTTATTTCTTGAAATAGAATGTATAGCTCCTTATAGATTATCACTTGACTGATGAAGGAAATAAAGCACGTAAATAATATATAAACAACCCAATCATAACAAACTTTATACAGTGATGGTTTGGTAGCAAAATCCGGCAGCTATGGTTGCCACCGATGGTGGTGTGTATATTTTGAAGCCAAAACAACATAGAGAATAAAAGTATTACCCCTAAAGATGAATACCTGAAAAACACCTCAAATCGAAATCCCTTCCTCCCAAAAACGCCTCTACCGGAATACCATGCTCGTCGGATTATCGTTGGAGTATTGTCGGAATTGGATGTAGATTCTAATTTGCCTTCATCTTGTCCATGTTTATTCCATGTTCAATCTTTCTTTTAATGAATTAGACTAGAACTCCCCAATACAAGGAACTTTTTCGAATAAACCCCCAACAATTCCTGAAGCTGAGTCCACTTCTCCTTCGTCACCGATGGAGCTAACCGATATAACGCATCGGTTATTGGGGTCGCACCAGGAACGAGATCACTATGGAACTCTACCTCTAGTGGTAGTGGTAAATCAGGCAACTCATCAGGGAAAACATTGCTAAACTCCCTAACCACCTCCACATCGGCAAGATCTTCTGCCTTCCT